ACACTGGTGGTTGTATAGGTGCTCCTGAGTTTAGTTTTTTTTTTTTTTAAACCCCCGCCAAAAGAAAAACATGCTGTTACAATGCTGTTTATTGAAATGTCTTAATTTTGCCATGGCTGTCCACAGGGTGTTGAACCACCTCGGGGCATCGTTTTGTTTCAATGTTCGATTTGATCAGCTGATCTCAGGTTCTGCTTCTCCGCACTGCTGCCAAGGACAGTGCGGTGGGGAAATGCGAGGAGTATCAGAAAGAAAGACCCTGAGCAAGAAAACCTCGAAGGCTCAGGATTAAGTTTCTTTAATATAAATAACATGTGCAAAAAAGTAGGCAGGTCCAAGAAAGATCATATATGTTCTGAGATTCTGAGGGCAGCAAGACCCATGCTTTTAGGATTGACTTGTACTTTGTGTTTGCTATCCCCACACCCATGAGTCTAACTAAAGGAGAGAACAAATCATGTCACCAGTTTAACTAACATGTTCTTTGAAGGATAGATGTTAGTCCCGCTGTTCCCCTTGGAGTGCAGCGGATCCACACGGTTTTTCGTTTTCTTTGAGCGAGAAACCGACCACGGACGCACCGGGCGCTCAGTCAACATGTGCTGAAACGGTGACCGGGCCCGTGAGGAACCGCACTTGGCAGATCAATCAAGAGAGTGGCGTGGCGCCAGCAGCGAGTTTGGTCCGATGGGTCGAGGTCGGATGGGTCGGATGGCTTGGACTGAAGGCCCATCCAGCAGCTGGAGACCGAGGGCGTTTGGCTCGGTGTTTGCGGTGTTCAGCCTTTGTACACCTTGAGACCTGCATGCCGGGCGTAGCCAAAGACAAATGTATACATTCCAGGATCTTCAAAGTTGCCTTGTGAGATCCCAGGATGAGGTCACTTTAGGCCTGTAAATGGTCACTTAGACTAGAGACTCCAAAGCTTTCACTATTGAATTTTGCTTGACATGTGATCATCAAAGTTCGAGGACCTTGGAAACAAAATGATAGGAGCTTTGCAAAGTGACCAGGGTTGCACTGCCCTTGATTGGTCCGCTATCAATTCTGCATGACAGTCCTTCCTCATAGCAACACCTTCTCTTCGATTTGGTTCCTTGACATGTTCAGTTTGGGATGTGGCAAACATGGGACGGCATGCATTTCAGGCCGGTACCGAGATCTTTCTCAAGGAACTAATCATACTGCCAGGTTGGCTATGCAATGATCATGGCGCATGACAGTCGCTTTTCACACTGTTGTTTTGTGTCAGCTTACACAGAAACTGAAGGATTCATGTTAACTGGGGTGAAGTCCAGTCGGCCTGCAACTTGTGGTAGAACCCATCCCTAACGCTCTCCGCTGGAACCATGTTCATGCCCATGTTTGGATCTGCATCATCCAGCTTCAAAGAGCTCGACTGTTAAACACATAACACATAAAGTGAGATCAGCTTGTCTGGAGGAAGACAATGTTCCCAACCCCTTGCGGATCCAGAGTTGGCATCCAAAAATCACTGGGTCGCTTCTTTCTCATCACCCTTGAGGCATTGCGCAGTGCCTTCCCAGCACGGCCACCTTCTACCACGCGCGGCGCATCTGCCAAGCTTTAGGTGCAACAAAAGCCGTGTTCCGCGCCGAGTGGTCATGATGGGCTTGACCGGTCGTGTTCGGTCCCGGTCTTCGATCGCGGATCGGTCAAGAGAGAGAGAGAGAGACGGTGAGAGGGACGGTGGTCGCACGCGACCGATGGGCCTGGCCTTGCAAGGATGGCTGGAGGACTGGCTGGAGGTACCTGTCAAAGCTCCTGGAACATGGTGAAGAGATATGAAGACTTGGATTTTGAGATAGCTCCGCGGTCCTGGTTAATCAACCTCCCACTTGAATGGGCCACTAACAGTGCCACCCATGAAAGACCCGTCCATGTCGAAGAGAACGAACGCGGTCTCTTTGACACCCGCGAAGAGACCGAAGACACCGACATGGACCTGCAAGGGAGACGATGGGACCTTCATTCCAAGCACGAAAAAGCGGTTGTCAGGTTCCCTGTGGGACTCGGAACCAGGGTGTCACTGGAAAAAAGGGAAACAAACACCTCTTGCTCCAGTGGCCAGTGGCACGACTCCAACAACCCAACTCCCCCTTCCCACCGACGTGGACCGACCTCGCGCCTCGCGGAGTTCGTGGCCGGAGGCGCCTCGTTGGCCACGATGGAACAGGTCATCGAGTGTTGCTCCATGGGATGCATTGGTCTCATGCGTGTGTGGCTGCAGTCGGACGCCTGGGCATTTTTCATGTCGGACCGGGCGGGGTGAGAGGAAGCGTTTTTTGTTGTTTTTCGAGGAGGAAAGATCAGGAAAGCTACACCAGAGGATAGAGATAGGAAACGGTGAGTCAGGAAATTGGTCAGGTTTGGGAGCAAAGGATGGAAAAGTATGCGGAAGAGTTTGCATGGTCGATGAGGTTGTTTTGTTTTTCTCCTTTCTGGTTGGCGTTTTGTGGATGAATCCCTTGGGTGTGGTTTACTTGGGGTTGGGTGCTGTTAGGTGTTTTGGACAAGAAGGTGTTTGAGTTGTTTCTACGTCGGTCAGCATAAAGGAGAGAGATGGTGAAGCACTTTGATGTGGGTGTCACGGTGTCAGTAGAGATCATGAGATCCTAGCAATGACAAGTGGAATATCTACCTGGTTTTGCTTAGGATGATGTGTTATTTCCCATGATGAGTGAATCCACATTCTAGTGATTTTGTGATGCTTTTCCTGGATCCTCAAGCAAATCCGAGCATATCCCCATGGCGCCAAGGGTTTTGCACCGAGCCTCGATGCCCAGCACCTCGGTGTGGGTCTCCCAAGCAGCGCTCAGGATGTCCCCGAGTGCTACGAGGAATTCGATTCGCCCATGGAGGCCTTTCCCATCGAGGACCCGGGCTCCGGCGTTTCCCCGAGCTGCTTGGATGGAAGAAGCGGTGCCTACTGATTGTTTTTTTTTTTCCAGGTTTATGTGGTTGAGTGTGGTGCTTGTACTGCGCCTGCTGAATCGGCTGATGCGGTTGAGTGTGGTGCTTGTCAACAGGGTCTGACCTCAGTGATTAGTGTGTGCAAACAACAGATCCACACCAGTGGTTCTGGCTCGGTGGGAGCTTTAACTACTCGGGGCAAGGGATCTAGAAGCATGGTGTCAGGCCTGTACTGTAGCCCTCACTCGCGACTAGTCAAGCGCATGAGCTCCCAAATTCATGCATATTCGTCAGCGGATGGATCTAGTTACCAGGAGACCCTAACTAACTAACTATAGCTATTATGCGCGGTGAAAAACTACCATGCCTTTTGTCCAACCACATCCCTTTGGTTCTCCTCATCGTAGTGTGTCATGAGCTGTCACATGATCTGTCACATACGATCCATCGTATTGGGTCCCAACGAACGAGATGATCGGCCCAAACCATTCGCCTACCACCAAGAGCATGCCCTCCCACATGTCATGTCGGTCTTCAGTTCCCGACTCCCACCCAGATCCACCAAAACCGGGACACCCCACTGATAATGCACAGGTGAAACAAGTATGAAAGACTGCCCTACGCACCCAAATCCTATAAATTGTAGGGTCGATGGAAAAACCTAGGGTTTCCAGGTGTTCCAAACCAGTACTAAAATACGGGTTTAGTACGGGTATGTACGGGTTAAATATGGGTTTAGTACGGGTTAAATATTGGTTTAGCATGGCTTAGAAAGACAAGAACCGAGGTTTTAAGAACAAACCTGAGGTATTTTTGATTTCACAAGAATACCCGAGGTTCTGATTGAGACCCTATAGGGTTTGGTTGCGTAAGGTAGTTTACTGCAACCTTTTGCTTTTCTAACTCCCGGTTTCCCAGCTCGGGAGTGGATTTCCCAGCTAACCAAGACGTGTGCTTGCGATGTATTCCCTTGAACAGCTGTAGGTGAGCCCTTGAAGTGGCAGGATCAACAAGGCGCGCGTGACCGGTCTGCGACCTGCCGACAGAGACGAAGAAGCCCCGCCAGAGATCGGGTGGTTGATGGGCTGTGTGGAACAGGAGCCAGTAGATCAACGAGTTTTACTGTACCCTGCATAGCAGGGGTTTGACCCTCAAAACCTTCACCTTTGAGGGTCCTTGATTCTTAGGGTGGTTTCCATTTTCCATGATGATTCTTTCTTGTTGGAACAACTGCTAACTGCTGGCGAGTGTTTGCTGAGAGTGTTGGTGAAATTCTGGCCATCAACGGTGCTTCACTCTCAGGTGTTCATTTGTTGTTGAACATATATTGCAAGTTATCATTAAAAACATGTTAGTTCATGTGACATATTAAGCAATCCACCCCAACAGAGTGACACCATGTTGGGTCACTGGTGTATCACACCAGACTCATCACTAACCTGGTGGACACCCCGGTGAACCACAGATCCACCGCGGTGCCCGGAGGTGCTTGGAACATGGTGCCTGGAGTGCCTGGAGCGTCGGGTGAGGATCTATCTAGGAACCCATTCATCCCTGTTTTCATATAGAAAAACACTAAGAACAAACACATTAATTCAACACACTTTTACAGTGTCGTTGGTGGTCCAAAATAGATCATTCATTCCGCTTCCATTCAGTAGGACCTCAAGACGTTTCTTCGGACTCCTCTTCCGCCAGGTCTGGCCGAGACGTTTCTTTCTCAGCACGAGGAAGCGCGAGGGACCCGGATCCGCTGGCGAGAGCGGAGTTTCAAGGCGCAGAACCGTCGCTGAAAAAGAAAAGGAGCCGAGCCGCGCCGCGCGGTTTCCGCCGCGGAGCCCAGCGACGCATGAACAGCTGCGCAGCGTCGTGGAACGAGTGGAAGGCATCAAACCGAAACACAGATGCATCGCTCAGGAAATGGATCCAGGCAAAGCACAAAAAATGTAGTCGATCAGTGGGTCCAAAGACTTAAGCCATGGACCAACCTAGAAACCCTGGTTGATTATGTACTCGTGACTCGTGGCTGCCGGGTATCCACTGGGGTACGGAAATCTCTCCCCCAGGCCGTCACGAACCTGGTGGGTGTGGGTGTGGCCGGATTCGGCTATGCGGTGGGCAAGGCTGGGTGACGGCAAGGCTGTGCAGTCGGGTCATCATATAGGAAAGTACCTGGAGCAACATTTTCATGCCCAAAAAATGCAATGGGCCATAGGTCAAAAAAACTGCTTTTTGGAGCTGTAATGCAAACCAGTTACGTTTTTGACTTTTTAATTTTTTGTGCTCTTTGGGGATCTTGACCTGCACCTGGTGCAACAGGGGACAATACCGGTGCAGGATTTAGTAAGCCCTACACAGCAGACTCTCCAGTTCAACTTTGGGCATTCCAACATTTGATGAAGGGGTAACTCTTGGATGCGCTGCAACTTGCAAAGTTTGACAAGCAAGTCTATAGCGGAAATTTGCGGGAATAGGGCGGACATATTGCGGAGACTTGTGGACTGGAAATTTGCAGCCTCACAAACACTTCAGCTTGACCAGGCTGCTTTTTGAAGCCCAATCCTCTGTGCAGAAACCTGAGAAGATTATTTATCCCAGTGAATTTGTGGTCCACGTCTACCTCTCTGGGGACACTCCATCATGACATATGGAATTTTTTCGTAGATATTGCTTTTTGGTCCAGCATGGCCCTTTCTTGTGAAATGAAGTATCACACTGTTTGGGAATTGGGTGGTCCAGGTAGGTCGACGAGGTCATTTTGGATGTGTATGTTTTTTCTGATTAAAGGACAACAACTTAAGTGGAATGTCAAGCCATGGTGGAAGTGTTCAGTCGTTTTGTTTGCCATTTTGCCAAGTGCAGCCGACTTATGAAGATGTTCTATCGAAGGGTCCGATCTGAAGAGTTCCAGGGATGTTCTTTTACATGCCTGTGGATGGGCAGTGTTTTTTTGTTTCTATTCCAGGTGTTTTTGATTTTTTAATAGAAACATAGATTCCCCACTTAAAAATATTGAAATGCATTGGAAAAGCTGTGCCACTATCTATTTGGAAGCCGTTTCATACCAAATACGTCAACGATACCTTCCGTCCCCACTGGGAGCGCTTGGGACGCTCTCAGCCTTTGCGCAGGTGACCACCACGGTGCAAAACACCTTGGGCTCGGACACGGCCCGGCGGCCTAAGCCGGCGAAGCCGGCTTCTTGCATACAGGCTTCTATAGAGACGTCGTTTAAGAATGTGGTCGTTTGATAGATCATGATCCTGGACTTGGGTTACATAAGATGATATTCCACAAGCTGTGCTGTCGAAGCAGCACGAAGGAGTGTGACTGGGATCGTTGTGAAAGGCTTGCAATTAGAATGCAACTGTTGCTTTCGGTGGCTTATCAGTCAGTTCACTTCCCCTAAGTGAGTGAGTGATAGTGATGCGTGTTTTCACCCTTTTTGGGGTGTATTCTCCAGGTTTGCAGACAGTTTTGTTTTGAAGTTGCTCACATGGCATATGCCTTGCTATGCGTTCAATCCAAACGAAATGGCTGGAATTATCGAGTGTTTGGTCATTTGTTGAACCCATACTTTAGATGTTTGGAATTATCCTTTGCTTTCGTTTGAACCCCCCCAAGTTGGTGAGTTCTCTCAAGCGAACTCCATCCCCAATCATCATCCACAATCATCATCCCACTATAACATCTGACCTTGGACCCCTGAATCCATCAGCCTCGTCCGGTCGAACCTCCCGAGGATGCTCATCACGTCGCCGACTCCTGGGCCTTCCAAGCAGCTTTCAGCGCATGGCTTCTGGGCGATGTCCATCTGACCGGTCGGACTGGGACTGCCAGACTGGTCTGCGACACGACGGCCAGGGGTTGGTGCCACAGGGGTCTGTCTGGGGCGGCAGGACATATATGGCAGTCCCATTAGGAGTGTCTGGGTCTATGATGTTTCTGATTTCTTTAATCCTCCAGCAAGGTGGGAAATGACCAGCCAACGAGAGACCTGAAAGCAAAAACTCTTCGCCCTGCCCTTTAGGCAACGAACAGTCACCACAGCGGGAGTCACAGGACATTTGGCCTGTTTCCACAATTAATATCCCTACCCCCTTAGGTACCATTTTGGAGGGGGGACCTAGAAAAATGTAACGTACAGTTTTCGAGGGACCCCATAAATGTATGTTGACCATCCCCCCCGTTTTTGGCCCTACTTGATCAAGTAGAGACCATATTCATGGCCTCCCCCCAGATTCGTGCTGCATGTTGCTTGCGTGCTCCTGGGAATTCACTAGGAAATGAGGAGGTGGCTGGCAGGTGTCAGCATGCAATTTTAGCGGGGGATGGAGAAGTATTCCCAAGTTATATTTTCTTGACCACCCTTTAAACAAAATAACAACATAAGTAAGAAGGTGTAAGAAGCATTGTGAAAACGATGCCAAAAACAATCGTGGCACCCTGTTTTGGAAGCTTCCCATGGCTCCTTCTATTGTATTTCTATGATTCTATGGTTTTCTGGTGGCCTAACCCAAGACAGCTTACATTTTCCTGGGCTTAGTGGCTGTAAATTAGATGCAAAAGGTACATGACTGAACTTTCTTGGGCCCTGCTATTGTATTTCTATGGTTTCCAGGACACCTAACCCAAAGCAACATACCTTTTTTTTGAAGTGGGCAGCTGTAGGCTGGGTATTGGGAAGGGGGCTGGGGATTGGAGCGTGTTTTCCTGTCTTTGAGGGTGATCTGGAACAAGTTACATGTTTTTAGGCTCATAAAAAACAAATGTAGCCTACATGTCTTTTTATGTTTACCTGGAGAAAATGCATGTAAGCTTACATGTTTAAGCTTCACTTTCCATGCCCCCTAGATATTGTAACCTATATATATATTTTTAGGTCCCCCCATTAATAGGTACGGCTCAATTAATGATGCATTGATTGTCAACACCTCACCTGCTCAGCAGTGCACCAACACAGGCTTTGTTAGGCTTGATTAACTTTAGAACGACCAAGGTCAGCATGAATTGGCATCCCATGCTCTTCCGTTGGCCCACCGAGGCTGAAGTGCAATGGAATCGTTCCATCTGTCAGCTTCGAGCCGATTCCGGCCGTGCCAGGCACGATCACCGGTTTTGGGTCTATTTCTCTTCTTCCAGGGGGGTGAACTCGATTTAAAAGCATACATTTGCAGACCCAGGGAAATATCATGTATACGCACCCAGTGGTCAGGCATAATCCCAGACCACACGAGTCTTTCTTAGAGCGTTTGGGAATTGGACACAATCTTGCTGAAGCCAAGTCCAAAACTTATGTGTTCATATCTTTTCATATCACTGGAGATGCAGAGAGGCACATGAGATGGGTGGCATACCCACCTTTGACTTCACGCGACATGTCACGGAACGTGCGCGCGACCCAGCGCCCATGTGGGCGGCTGCCCCGGTGACTTCCCCATGTTGCACACTAGCATTGAGTAACCCCAAGGATATCAAATGGAGTGGATCTTCTCACCTAAAGGGTCCTGGGTCCAGAAGCAGAGTGACCTCGCAACGACATGTTGCAGAGGAAGACTCATAGACTCACCGCCGATGCAACACCCAGGGACACGCATGCCCAGGCCCAGACTCATTAATCTCTTGAAGACCATTCTCTCAAGGGACTCTTGGTGTAAGTCCCAGCAGCCCTGAATCGAATCAGATGAGACATGTCGCATGACTATGGAGCTACGATCCAGCAGAGATTTGAGTTGTTCCTGTCCTGTCCGGCAATGCCGAGAGTTCGCTGCAGTCAAAGAAAACTAGAACTGTATTTAGATGTATTTAGATGCATGTATCATGTATGGCACAACTTCATTTGATATGAAGATCCATGAACATGTTCATCACTTGGATGTATAGGTCAAAACCCACACGGCGTTTCTCTTTTTAAAGGATATATAATCAGTTGGATGTGTTCACCAGTGTACCCAGCATAAGTTAAAAGGGACATATTATATTCCCGTTGTTTCGGGCTTCATCTCGTTCGTGATGCGGCCGACATGTGTGCAGTGTTCTGTTGTCAGGCCGACCAAAGTTTGTGGCAGAGGACGTCTTCAGTTTGTCGCTGGGGATTTTATGGATGCCTTGCGGACTTGATGGAATCTCCTCAGACCAACTGAGCGTTGTATCCAGCTCCATAGCTGTCAGGGTTCATGTCACCTGCTACCGCGGGTTTGAGTGCTATGTTTGAAAATGGCTGCCATTTGGGTGTGTAGCTCAACACCTGCCTGCCCTCTCCCCCTGCTTCGAGACCAGGCTCGACATCCGCCAGGACATGCGACAAACGCCCATCATTTTGTGCAATCACGTGTCAGTGACTTAGAGCTGTGCCCAAGGAGATAGACGCTGGTTTAATACAAGCACCTACACCAGTCGAAAGATGAGGAGAACAACACTCCATCAATGCCTTAAAATGTGTTGTTGCTTCGAAGCACGTGGTGGTTTAGAAGCAAATTTGTCGGGGTGGTTGGGCTGCAAGGTCCAACCCAGCAGCCAGAACCGATGCCCTTCAGCCCTAAACCAGGCAATGGAATTGATCCATTGGATGTACACTCTGACTCTTCAACATGGAAGTGTACATTTTTTGCAGCTCAGGTGCTACTTGGATGGGATGGTTTTAGCTTCCGTCTTCCACGGGCCCAAGATCATTGCCATGAAGGGCACTTTGCGACTTGGCACAGAACATGCTGAACTTGTTGGTTAGGGCGGAGTTCGCATAAAAGATCGAAGACTTGTTGACATCATTCACGGTTGACGTATGCTGGACGATGATGTTTAAACCAGGGCCCCCTAAGGGGTGTCTAATCATAGCTCCTTAGAGGTTAAGGGGTATCCACTAACCATCCCTTAGGGGGCCCTGGATGAGATCCATTGCTTTGACGTTAAGGCTTTCAAAAGGCACCTGGAATCGGCCCTGCGCTGATGGTACGTACCCATGATGTGTCCTTCGAGGAATGTCCCGGTCATTGGCGTTTTTGCGAAGGACATCGGCGTGATCGAGGCTCTTTGGGTTGTCCAACGCGTGGGTATCTGGAGAGGGATGAGTTGCTATAGTCTTCTGGTACGGAGATGAGTAGGCTGAATCGATTCACTTTGGAACCACTCAGGAATTCAAACCTTCCTTCAGTCCCATGCCATCCCCCAACATGAAAACGTTGCACATGTCAAGGCGTCGCCTCCACTCGTCCGCCCAAAGCCCGGCGAAGCCTGGCGGTTTTTCACTGGGCATTTGACCTGAAAAAATCGGGAACAATCTGGTGTGTGTTCTGTCGAGTCCCACCTGCAACAAGGTGCTGTTGGAGCTGCTGTTGGAGCACAAGGGCCCATGACGTGGGCCTCTAAACCCTCCTGTTCGCTCCGTTTTCCACGTTGCGAACATCTTGGGCGGCAAGGGGGTCACCCCACCCGGCAAGCCTCGGAAGACTCACTGGTTCATCTATGCCGCCAACCGCGCATGATGCCGAACTATGGCGAAGGTAGTTGGGGTGGGTGTTAGGGATAGGGGGTCTAACATGGTCTAACTGTCCAACTACTGGGGCCGCTTGTACCCTCTGAGGAGGGAGGTGGTTGAAACATGTTGGAGCCCTAACAACAATGACTCGCTTTGTTGTTCAACACCTGCAGTTCTTTTCCTCCCCCGTCCCAGGTGGACCGATCAGATCCCAAATCCCGTGCGGCCGGGGAGCCTGGATTTGTGTTGTTTCGATGTCTTTGAGAACGGTGAGGGCTTTGCTCAAATTTAGCGCAGTGGTGTGTGCATGGATGGTTGGGGCCATTTCGAAATGGCAAAGCAGCATCAGCATTAGTCGGCCTTCGTATCCCATCTAATTTGTAACTACCGCCAGGAGAGTATTCCCAACTGGTGACCTATGACCCACTTACTGTATTATCGAGATAGCGACGAAAGGAAGAGACGAAGAAAGCGACTTGTGTAGAGAATCCTGGAAACCCATGACTCAGAGGTCAAGAGGTGTTAATTTCTTTGTGAAGGCGCCCTACATGCCCTTACATGCCACAAGCTTCCAACGCCTCAAAACGTTTTTTCATTTGTGCGCACGGCCAGGCCACCATTAAGGCCATTGAGGACCGACAAAAACAGCGAAGAGATGCATGGCCGGTGTTTGTTTCACCGGGAAGCCCACGCAAAGAGAGGCCCGTGTCCTAAGACCGGCGATGTCCATGCGTTTTCGAAGAGGCGTTTACGCCCAAATGGAACAGGCAAACGGTGAAGGACGAAGGAGGTGAAGGAGGTCTCTGGTTCACAGCTGTGAGAGCTTCTGTGGTTCTCATCTGTCGTGTTGACGGAGCCACGCGGCTGACGGAGTGAACGGAGCGACGTGTTTTGGGACTCCTGAGAGGATCATGTGGCCAACTGGCAGCCAGGGCGACAGCCCCTCTTGTTGTTCCCTGAGGCGTGCGGCTCTCCTAGGTGGTGGGGCCGGGTCAAAGAAGCATTCTTAGCTATTTATAGGTGAACAAGGTAGCTTTGTGGATGGAAGGTAGCAAGATATGGTTGGATTTTGTTTGCATTTATTTTGGGGTTAGATCAACTCGACAAACATTATGGTGAAACTGTTTCCTTTGACCGATGTTGGCAATTGTTGGAGAGCCAGCAAGGCGATATCGTGTATTTTGTCCATCGGCTTTTCCCAGTATTGTGTTGTTTCTACCGACCTGGAGTGTCAAAGCACGTTTGAAATCCTTTGAAGCATGAGTACTAGTACAAATACCTAGCTGTTTTGTGTGGTGTCGTATTCATTTCCGGCACCTCAGGGCTCGGGATACAGCCTCTTCACTGCACAAACTTAGACCAGTGAAGCCCAGATTTGAGACGAAGGCAGTCGGCAGTCCAGTCAGACTATAGCGGACTAGCTATGTGCCTGGAAAGCGGACAGGCTGTCGTCCGATCCTGGAATCTCCAAGAGGACACTCCATTTCCCACTGCTTATCAGAGTTTGTGTGGCCTGCCTTCCAAGAAAGATTCAAAAAACATCTTCCAACACTGGCCTTCGGTGATGGTTCGTGCCTTCGTGCCAGAGGACCAAGGAAAAGGGTAAGGTCCTCAACCTGTATGGCTGAGAGAAAAACCGTTCATACCGAAATCTCTAATGACTGGTGGATGTAGGGCAAATCACCATTTTTTAATTTGATGTTTATCAGAAATCACTGCAGACTGATGTCCGTGACAGAATTCGACTGAAGTCAGGCAATGATTTTGTTCATGACTTGTAGATTTCCCTATGAAACCATACAGAGTGTTGATGTGTTTTGGTCCGACCGCTCAGGGTACGACGAGCAATGGGCAAGGCCTTTTGGAGTGGGGAAGCTTAGCCATTGCAGGCTGCCCGGAAATCTATATATCATGTACTTGTCCTACCCGGTGAGTGGTGAATTTCAATCCCTTCGACGTGTTTTGAGGGATTGGTGTACCTAAAAGGAAACCGGTGGAAAGTTTAACCCTTTGCGGGACACTGAAGGGTTAGTGGTGTGGGATGAGACTAAGCATCCAATAAGGAGGTGAGTCTTCCATGACAGACCTGCATGAACCAACATAATTAGTGAAGCTGCCTCCAAGAGCCCTAGGGATTTCAGGGTGTTGCCACATTGCGCTTGGCTGCAAGTGAGCTGGCAGCGATTGTTTACAGTCAGAGGGATCAAGTCAAGAACCAAGGAAACTGCTGCCAGGCCATTGACGACGTGCACGAGCCCCAAACATTACCTGACTAATTAGATCTGACTACGCAACACATTCTCCAGAGTGCCCCTCCTCGCTCAAGCTTAGGTAGGGTGTTGCCTTTGGGTGTTGACACCCCAAAACAAACTCACTCCTGAACCCCGGCGCAACAGGGTTCCTTCCTCCACCTGAAGCATCCGGTCCACCCAGCAACCAGTCAACCCACCTGTCTCCTCCATGGTGCACAGGTTCCGGAAGGGTGCCTTCGTCCCGGGCGTCCCCGTGCGGCCGGCAGTGCCTCGGTTGGCTCGGCTCGGCTCGGCGGTGGTATCGGTGCTTTCGCACCGGTACTCCGGCGGTGTTTGAAAGCTGGAGCACCCATCTGGTGGGTGAAAGTTGGTGAAAAGAGGATGGAGCCAATGAGCATTTGGGGGGCAAAGTCTAGAGGGAACCTGTTCAAAACACATTGGATTGTTGCAGGAGGATTCCTAAACGTGAAAGCTGCTTTTACATGCTGAGTGTGAGCTGCAGGGAGGAAGTGCATCAGTCAAAACATGTCCAAACGAATCACCGGCAGCACCGGAGCCAGTTCATGAGCAGTGTACGGAGGTGCTTTGCTACACTGGCAGCTGGGATCCCGCCAACACCAGCTACCGGGAAACCGATGGGAAAATCCAGGCACGGAAGAAACACCACGGGGGTACCGGTGCAGGGAAAAAAGGGGTGTGCAGATGATGGAAAACGCCCAAGCGCATGGACGGGTGTTAAGGTAAGTGGAGATTCTGGGTAGGTTTGAGTTTCAGGGGTGGTTGCAAGAGATTCTTTTAGTATGAAGAAGGCTGGTGGCCTGACATGCACATGTCCTGTGCCACTGTGACAAAGCCGGGGAACAAAGAGCTTTTTCAATCGACTACTGATTTGTGCGGTGTTGCTAAATATAGAAGGATCCGACCCAGATGTTTAATGATTGGCAATTTATTCTCCTGGAATGCATCCTTTTGTGCAATCATGCCAGTTGTTGCTTTAATGAACGATGCTGCATACATGGGAGTTATCCAAAAGGTCCTTGTAAGGGTTTTTAATGTCAAGAGCCTTGGATGACATGATCGTGGGTCTCGCGAAAGTTTTTTTTCGAGTTCGCGAGTGTTAATGTTTTTTTCGCGAAAGATTCGCGAAAGTATGAATTTTTATTGTATGTTCTTTGGCGAGCCTTCGGGCTTGCCCCATGCATAACCACATCCTTTTCTGACCGTCAGCAGCTTCAACTTTGGAATCCGTGTGAAGCTTCCTTCCTGTTTCATGTAGTCCACCCTATGTTATGTATGCCGTAAAAACCTCCAAAGCACAGGGATTATTTCGCGAAAGTTTCGCGAAAGTCTGGCGAAGGTTTCGGCGAATGAATCGGCTCCAGAGGAACCCCGTAGCCCATAGCAACCCCACAAACTGTATTTAGAAATCGAGTCCCTACCAGGTTAAATGGTTTCATGACATGGTGAACCCCCGCGAAAGAAAAACACAGGGTTCGCGAAAGTTTCGCGAATGTTAATGTTTTTTTCGCGAAGAATGGCCGTTTCAATAAACAAGAATATTGGACAACCACCACATGTTTTTGCAACAAGAGACTTGAACAGTTGCCGTCTCCTGCCTCCTTCCATCGTTTTAGCATCGCTTTCAGCAGGCAATTGGGGACACCGAGTGGGCCGAGCAGCTTCTGGTCGAAGAGAGCGGGTCAAGACAGTGGTGGGTTGATCGAAATTGTGGGCTGTGGGAAGGCAATAATTATCAAGGTAGACCTGAAAGACTGAAGTCAAAGAATTTGCAGGAGGCCATCGCAAGTAGGATGGAGGCCATCGCTACTAGGTGGAGGTCATCGCTATTAGAAACAAAGAAAACACAGGAAAGGGTATAGGAATGATTAGGAATGTATAGGAACCATTATGAAATAATAGTATAGAGCCAATTTTGGGTTTGCCCCATTACCTGTAAAATAGTCGGCAAAAAAATATAACATATTAAAGTACAACTATTATTGAACAAGCCCTTTACTAACCATCATCATCTATAAGTACTCTTACTGGCAATTGGATAGACCCAACATATATTTCAACATATATAGCTATTACAGCAAGTCTTTGTAAGCTTTGATGAGCTTCAGAAGATATCACTGTGACTGTTTGTTCTTAATCGATGGTGGCTGGTGAAAATCCTTTTAGATGCGAGTGTTTGGCAAAAGACGGCGCGTTCCGGGTTGGATGCCACTTTTGCAATGGGGCAGGCAGCTTCCGCGGGAAGCTGCCGATTCTCGACTTTGTTGAGGAATCCTGGAGATTAGCCCTCCCTGAGGAAGTTGCTAGGATTGCCATGGATGGCTTTGCACTGTGTTTGAGGATCTGGTGTTTGCGCTTGCTACGGTTGCTAAATTGGATTTTAATGGATTTGGCAGGTATAGCAATGCCATCCCTTTTTCGCTTTTAGCCCACGCGGGACCGCAACGCACGAGGTTCCTCGGCCACATTTTTCACTCCTTGCAGATCCGGGTGTTGCCACCCTACGAGCCATCGGAGGAGTCGGAGAAAGACTGGAACCGGATAATCTTGAGACTGCGGAGGGGGCGTTGGAAGCTTGGGAATATCTTTGGCAAGACTTGGGTGTACTTGTCGCTTCTGCATCCCTCTACTATTGTGTTTTTTTTTTGTCAAAATGGGACAAGGGATTTGGTTTGGATGCCCTTCCACGCATGGCTGACCTGTTTGCTACTCTTGGGATGTGAGTCCGTGTTTTGTTTTAATAAGGGATTCTATGATCACCTATTTGCTTTGGAGTCGAAGGGTGCACAGCGGGCTCGTAAGCATGTGTTCAGAGCTTGTGATGTTGATGGTACGAGGAGGTGATGGACCTTAAGACCTTAAGACAATTCCACCTTTTTTGCACACAGTAGGAGCATCCGTAGTTTCCATGGTGTTCTTTCTTTTGTATCATCTCGTCCTGCATCGATTCATGCTCGAGCCGCCCCAGCCGCTGATTATCCAGCTGCCGCTTGTGAATACTGAACGAACCCATGTCGTTCAGACGAATGGCGCCAGCATCTCAAAGTAAACCTTTTCTGCAAAACGCAGTCGGAGCTCTCCTCATCCTACTGCCACTGTGGCAAACCCAATGCCCTGCATTTTGCATGCAAACAAAAGCTAATGGCCATGAGGTGCTGAAAGGATTGGAGAACGAGGATACTCGACTTGCACAGTATATGGAAACATTAGTTTGGCCGAAGTTGACTTGCTTCCATGCGTTCGGCCAAACATACAAGTTGCCGTTCCGAAGCCGGGCTGCAGGAAATCGGAAGTCTCCCACATCAGCTCAGTTGGAGTACTTGGGTGGATTCTTTGATGGCGACGGGTGCGTAGCTTGCAAAAGTGACTTGACGGCCTGTTGGCTGTCAATGGGTCAGGTGGCAATCAATGCCGAAGTGCTGGTCCTTTTCGTGGAGTTCTTTGGAGGATGCATATACCGTCAAGCGAATGGCCAGGGGATCCGACAGCCAAAACTGCAGTGGCAGGTTCATTGTCAGGAGGCTAGAGCTGCGGCGAAGCAATTGAGCAGTGTTTGTTTAGGCAAGAGGGAGCAGCTGGACCTGGTCAGCAATTGGTGGGATAACAAGGATGAGCGGCAATTGGTGGCTGACCAGCTGCGCGAACAGAAGAAACGCCCACCAACCATCCCAAGCGAGTTGAGCCTTTCATGGCCATATTTGGCAGGCCTGTCCGACTCTGCAGGTTGCATTAAGCTGCGTCCCAACCAGAATAGTAAAGCTGTCAAGCTTGAAATTACCCAGAAATACAAGGCTCTTTTGCTGCTGAGCAAGGCATTTTTGGATCGGCAGTTTGAAGAATCGGGTGCGGAGATTTATTCTTGCACTAAATCAGCATTTCGCCTGGAAATCACTGATCAGAAGACTGTGCGAACCCTACTTCAAGAGCTATTGAAAGCTGGCTTGATGATAAAAGCCTCTACAGCTCGATGTGCGCTGGCTCCTCACCGCAACCACGCTTCAATGCGAGAACAGTTGAGTGCCACCATCACTGGCAATCAGGGGCGCTACACCAGACTGGATGCACAAGGCTGCCAACGGAGCAAGTCCATTAAGAGTCTTCGCAGTAAAATGCGGGCAGCTCAAAGGAAGCACGACAGCAAGTCTGTGGAGCAGCTAGAGAACCAACTTGCAACCCTGCAGCTCCACCACGACATAGAAAATGCCAAGTGTCGCATTCGCCGTCGGAAAGAAGACATCAAAATGCTGTTGGCCGCAGGTGCAACATCATCAAAACCGTCTCCCGCAAGTGTGGTAGATCTCGATCATGACCTGGTGTCCTCCGAGAAAAATGAAAGTGCGCCAATTGTCGTTTGTCATCGCATCATTCGACCCAGACTGGCTGAGCACCTCTTCAATGTCTCAAACAGACGTATCAACTAATCAGGCCTAGCAGTGTGTATTTTAATTTACACTGGGATGGGACACGTGTAGTAAACGTCACATTTATGTTGTTTTGAACCAGTACCAACTTTGTATCCATGTTTGCTCGACGGATTGTAGCTGCTTGGTCATAATATGCAATCCTTTTGCCACACCTGCGTGGCAAAGGGTTTTCCGAGCATTTTTGGTTTTGTCATTCTGTATGTCCTTCCAATCCCAAGGGTTAACCTGATTTGTGGTTGAAGGCAGGTGACTACTTGAAGTCTAGACACCTTTATAAGTTTGTTCTGCTTGCAACTGGAAAGTTTGGCCCTAAACGGCCAAGTTTCCACCTTTCGCTTCAATGGTTTGCGGGTCTGTTGGGACAACGTGCTTGGTGTAATGTTCTCTCCAAGACTCACTTCGTCCAGCGACACCGTTTCGTTCCCGCCGGGTTGGTCGAATCGGGATCAGACCGGATCGTCAGATTGCAGACCCTGTTGGAAATGGAGTGTGGAGACTGGCACAGCACCAATCCTTCTCCGCAAAGCGACAGAAGGACTTGGTTCTTGGGTACCTGCAGGCGCCTGCAGGCCACCTCTACGATGCTTGGCGGCCAACCCCAGATCTTTTTCTCCAAGAATTGACCAGGAGGAGAAGGCTGACCCCCAGCTCTACGCCTCCAACGTCCGCAAGGCTCGCGGTTCGCTCCGCGGCACGGCGATTCGAAGGCACGGAGGACGGATTTCCGAACGACGACAGCGATCGATGTCCACTGGAAGCCACTGGCGATGTGGGAAGACCCTGAGGCAGAAAAAACAGATCTGAAGGGGTTCATTCTTTTGAGGGTACATGAAAATACCTACCATCCACCGTTTGGCTGGTATGACGATCCCTCAATCCTAGCGACCTCTTTGGGAGTTCATTGGGGATCAGGTTTTGGCCAGGCTTTGTCAAGTGATGTTTAATATAATGCATAATCAATGCATATATATGCTGGACTGTACATGGACCTATGGATTGAGTATATTATTTAAACCAGTATAGTTTCAGAGTGAAGAAGATGATAAGGAACGTTTTTCATATGCAGTCCTGTCAGAGGAGTGTCACTTCGTGTCACTTCGGACACCAGAAATAGGCTGAACGCACACTTCATCATCCTGTCTTTTCCTTGCAGGTATCTATGCCAGGGGTTTTTGACTCGGCCGAAGCGTGTTAGACATATTACATTTATTACACATTGGTTCAGTATTCAAGGCAAAGCCCGATATTGTGATGACATTTGGTGAAGCCGCAGAACGTCAGAATTTGGAATCGGTTTAAATGGGCTTTCTGAATTGGTCATTCATCGGTCTGTTTTTGACCCTTGAAACATTGGTTGAATTTGGACATGTGGTAAAAGCTCAGAATGCAGATGACACCTGACAATTTTGACGTTCAATTCACATCAGCAATGTCATCACCTGATATCTCCAAGTGATTCCAAATGGCAGTTTTTGTGTGTTTTTTTTAAACAATGTTTAGATCAGATCAGTAAATTACATTTGATGAGGCATGGTCCAAAGGACAATGTACAATGAATAACAATGATGTTGGAGTGTCCAAATGACGTTTGATGAGATCTGCAGCTTCGCATCCACTTGGCCGAGCTTTCAACATCGCCAGGTCATGAGTGATGCGCACGCAGAGCTTCGGAAGGAGGCAAAGAGATGCTGCAGGAGCAGGATGTGGGTGATGATCATGACACAGCCCCATTTGATCGAGGTGCCCCAAATACGATGGAAAACCAACGGCTGCAAATACAGATCTCAGGTGCTTCTCTTTAGGTGCTGATGACCGGCTTCTGCTCAGATTCGGTCCGCACCTCCTATATACCAATGACCGCACCTGCAATACCATCGGACCATTGACTGGGGGCGACCACTTCTTCTATTTTGTTCGAGTTGACTGGGCGCTTCTTCACCCGTGAATTAGGTGTAATAAGTCATGTGAGATTTGCCATCATGAGGGCGGGGTAACCTCTCCAATGTGTTTTTCATGTCCGTGATTGTTGGCATGTATTTTTTTGGTACCCTCCTGGAGTTTATTTCATTTGCAAGCGTTCTGGGTGAGATTTGGGACCTGAATGTTATATCGTGGCTCCGCCTGCAAAACCTGGATTTTTTCGGAGTAATGAATGGTAATACAAATCAAATCAGATCTGGATTTTCTTGAAGACTTGCATCATACAATTGTGGCTTACCTACCTGATACCAAATATAAACATTAGTGGAGTTATCTGGGATCCAACATGATGGGTGTGACCTGTAATTACCCTGTTGCAGGAAGAGTCATTGAATAGTTTTTTTTTTGAAGAGAGCCGATGAGCTGGGTCATGCTAGGTCGTTTCTGGCAGCCTGGTTCGGCCCAGGTGGAACTAAAAGCCAAGCAGCACTCCATTCAGGTGCTGCCTCGTGGTGGGAACTGGGGTGTTTGAAAATCGGCACCTCGTTTTCAACGCCTTGTGGGAACACTGGAGGCATACGAGGTCATCTCAGCCTGGGAGCTTGCCTGCCTAAGGCCTAAGGAGAAAAGTATATTTAAAAGGTAATACGGTCAATGATTCTCTTATGGTATATATATATATTGTCTTAGTTTGTGTAATTTCATGATGTATCCATATAACATGTTCTAGACCATTGAGGTGCTTTTCAACCAGACGCCCGTCTGACAGTATTGCTTCTTTGGAGACCCTGTCTCGGGTCGGCCGGAGCCCGTGGTTCCATTTGCCGGTGCCGTGCCGAACCGAGGGACGGCACCGGCATGCCATCCACTCACGTCCGTTCGGGCCGAACGTAGGGGGCAAAATTCATCGACTCCCTTGGACGGAACTCCTTGTTCCGTGGGGTCACTGGACATCAACAAAAACGAACGCTGATGTTTGTTTTGATGGCTTAATTGTCGGCTCGTGTGCGAGCTGATCCATTTTGGCTTGTAGGTTGCTTATGCTTTAAGTAGCCAATCATCCGCAGGCAGGCTTCCAACAGGTGAATCAGTCACCTGGAGGGTTCAAAGGCACACTCCTTTGATCGTGGCGTGCGGCCTTATTTAGGGCAAAGCGCCGAAGAAAATCCCATATATCGGACATTCCGTCAGAACAACAACCTTAGACATAGAAGTTCATTCCTTTGGATCAACCAACACATGAAATGAAGGGACATCAAGGTCTGATGGTGTCAACCGTGTCATCAGTTGTTACTTTGATTTATGGTGCCTTCTGGAAGCACAAATTGTCAGGCCTTTGCGCAGAAGGGCGTCGGGGCTCCTGTGGGCGGGTGCCGGTGATGCAAAGCAGTTAAAGAACTGAATCTTCCCAAATCCACCTGGAACGGGTGCTGAAGGCTTGATATAAAGACCATTGCAATCATCCTGAATGAGACAAGTATGGGCGCTGCCTCTATTCTAATTTGTGTGTATTTTTTGTATCTCAATTTGTTTCTTTGCTTCCGGTCCTGACAGTACCATGGGTCCCGCGTTCCCGCAGGGTCTTTTCGAAGAAGGCCACAGACCGCGGGTAGCGGTGTATGAGATGGGTACTAGGTATTGGCGTTATGACCCACAACTTCCCCACAGAAGTTTGTGTGGTGATGATCGGCCATGTGGTGAACATCCATTGATATATATATATATTACTTAAATCTCTATTTATGGTACTCCCATAGCCACAGATAGGGAAGGTACTCAACAGATCGTGGGCCTTTAAAGGATCATCTCCGTTTAAGCTCATGAATTTTGATGAGATGAGTTTTACCAGGTGATTAGGTGTCATCCATGCCAAGAACCTGCCTTGCCGTGGGAAGAGGTCCAACAAAGAAAACTCGAGCGTCCACACATTACCCCTTGTCTATGGCCAGGTCCATGTAATGATGGCCTGCCCGGGCAGCTCTCGGGTCTGAATGAGTGGGGTTCAGCTCCAGACAATCCATGGGACTTATGAAAGCAATAGTTACGGACTCATGGGACTGATTGGGACTGGGTCATTTGGAACATTCTCCTGTCCATATCCAACATGACATGCTCTTGTTCCACCATGCTCCTTGACATGCTTCTGAGTTCCGGACATGTGAGGATTATGTCATGCAACTCCTCCAGATCGAATGGTTCAGGGTCACCTGGCTGGAAGCCCCGGCCCACTACCATCCGGGATCTCCCTGTCCAGGACACCCCTTTGAAGGTGTCATTCTGTGATGCTCGGTCTTTCATTCTGTTTAAGTCAGTTGTTGGTTGAGTTCCTCATGGTCCGAACGCTTTGTAGTCTCCATTTATCGCCAGAAATGGGATGGGTGACATGGGAAGCAGTGTTTTTGCAACACCTCCAGGTGGAACCGGAACCGAACCCCATTACTTGGGAAACCATGGCGTTCAGGGTCGTGTGGGTCGTTTTCTTGCAAATGGGACCGCTTCAGGTGGACTTCGTGGAGGCACTGGCGGTGGATGGGGATGATTTGGGTAGACAAGAACAGCACTCCTTTAGAGAAAGGCCTGCAACTGAACCATCATCATCCACTGGGCCCCGGTAATAGGGTATCTATATATACTCAGTGGGATGATCAAGTGGGCTTGGGCTTGTACCTGGACCTGTGTGGAACACATCTGTTGTCGATGCAAGCCGAACTGATAAGTAATTGTTCGCTTGGAGGATCCGGAGATGTCAATATCATTATCCCCACACTGGGGGATCAATATCCGGTTTAGTAGCGCAGCTTTGCCAGTTTGAACCAGATACATCAAGATACCAAGTGAATGTTACGTCCCTTCTGTCCCATCCAAAGAAGACACTGACACTCCCGAAAAAGGTCTCTTCTACAACCCCAGGTCTCCACATAAATGCACCAAGGACCCGTCAACCTTCCAAGAGATCCCCTCGGAGTGCGTGCCCCGCGCGGTTCTTCGCTTCCGTTCCTAACACGCCCCCGAACGCAGGACCTCAGCACCGGCGTGGTCAACGGCATGTCCTCGGTGATCCAAAAGACCCGCGACATTGGCAGCCTCGGCGCCGCGACTTGGCTCCCGGACGGCGCCGGCCTGGAATGGACGAAAGATGACGAAAGGGTCAAAGGGTGCTCTTCTGTTTGGAGACTGCCCGTCATGCTCCTGTCGGTGAGAACTCCAGCTCAGGCTGCTCTGCTAGGGCGACAGCCAGACAGGCGTTTGCCGTTTGCCCGCGGGCCGGTGAGACGGAGTGGGCGTTCGGAAGTGGTGTGGACATCGGATGTGAGTATGATACAAAGATCAAGATCATGTTGCCAACGATACCATGTTAATAGCGTTTATCTCTGTATAAAGAAAAGCTTATCAAATGGGTTGTGGTTGGGCCAATCTGGAACATGTCATGTAGCGTTATGTTTGGTGGGTGTCGTTTTAGTATAGAGGGACTCGGACCTGGATTTCGAGACACCTACACCGACGAAGACCTAAGTGGAGTTCACCCCTGTTGATGAAGGAACGTGGTCTTCCAAGATCTTCCAAGAAGCGATGCCATCCACTTTATTTTATATGGGTGTATTAAACCAGGGAGACCTCCTGGCTCGACCCATGGAAGAACGTCCGTCAGGTTCCTTCACACAAACTGAGGTGTCTATCTTATCAAATGGAATTCTTCAGACCGCTCCTGGTTGAGGTTCAGTGCCGTTGGAAGTTGCCAGTCGGGGAGGCCACTTTGAACTTATGCAATTGCTGCTCGATGCTGAAGCTGACAACGATGCAGTAACGAGAAATGTGGTAAGGCCTTTGTGCATGGCCGCCCAGAATGGCCACTTAGAAGCTGCGTGATTGTTGCTTGAGGTTGGAGCTGACAAAGATGTAGCAGCAAGCAAATGGAATCAATGGGTTTAATCGGGCATTGGCTTTGTTTATGGCAGCCCAGAGAGGCATAAAGAGGCCACTTACTTGGTCGTTGTGCGATTGTTGCTTTACACTGAGCCGCCAAAGATGTGTCAAAGGCCTATGGAAAACGGTTTGGAACTATTGTCATTCAACTATTTGATGAGGACCTTTCGGATGAACGATGGCTTTGTTGATTGTAGCCGAGAACGGCTGTGCAATTGTTGCTGGTGACCAAGATGCGGCCAAGAGAAATGGGGTCCCACCGGTTGTTTTCGAGTGCAGCGAATGGAACAGCGCAGGAAAGTCACCCGACATTCGGAACTACCGTAATTGGCCCAATCTCGCCCATGGAGAGCACTGTTTCTTTACCTGGACGTACTCATGGCTAGGACAAATTCACATGTTTGGCGGATCTTGACCTTGAGCTGGAGACATTCTGACCCATTCGTTGATGTATATATATATATATATACCGTATATACAGTATTGTTTATTACACACGTACTATGTACACATACGTCCATGGACATGTCAATAATTCCCATGTTTTTGTTGTCCTCTTCGGGAGGCCAGCATCAGGCAGGGATGCCGGGGGAGGGCCGGGGAGGGTGTAGCCGGTGGGTGTAGCTTTCGCTTGAAAACGGTCATGGTCGGTCGCTGAAAACTGTTGAAACATGAAGGGAACCATGTTCACAAGACTTGGACCAAAGGGTGCTTTTCTTCGCGCCAAAGACGACGAAGACGAAGCAAGACGACGTCTGGATGTTGACGGGATGGCTGGTCCATGTAAGGATCACATGACATTTGTGAGCTCGCTACAGTCATGGTTGGAAATTTATGTTCAATGACTATAGTGGGTGAACAGTGTTATTATATACAAGAGAAAGATATACCACAGATATCTTGGAAAACACATTGGAAGCAAACTGGAAAGGACACATATACATAAACCTTGGAGACGCCTATAGAAGTCTAATGATTCTTGATAGCCGAGAGCATACCAACTTTGACGGTGAAAGAAGGAGGATTCAGATGTGGTGTCGTCCATGTCGCGGTGCCGTGTCACCCTGACCGCCGCTTTGTTTCTGCGTGCCAGGGAGCCCAACGACGCCGGTGTGGGAGGGCGCGGGCACGCGACGGACGCGTGGTGGAGCCCAGGAGTGGAGGGTCGAAGTGAATGGCCGCCTCAAGCAGATCAGTTTCGAAAAAGACATACGATGTTATTTGATCGACTTGTGGATCAAATCGATGAGCCCAGGAGTGGGAGCCTAGGAGACTGGACGGTTTGACTGAGGATGAGCCCGAGGATCAGACCATTTGAGAAGATGGCGCCAGAAATCGTGGTGTGGACAGTGGTGAGGTTTCTTTTGGTTGCGCCAGAAATCATCTAAACGACCATGTCATGCCTGCTCGCTGCCCCATGGATTTCTGATTGATTTCATGGTTTGGGGTAGTACTGCCAGTCAGTTGTTTGTTTTCTTCGGGTTGCATACTTGCTTCGCTGACAAGGTGCCGGTCCAGGGAAGAACACATGTTTCTTTTTCTGGACGGGAACGGACTGAGTTCGGCGCAAAAGTCGATGGCTGGCTGAATTCCTTGGCCAGTCGTTCAGTTAGCCGAAGCAGTCGATGTTTTGCTTGACCACACCTAGAGCCCAGGCAGGACCCCTGTTTTGATAGGAAAAGACCGTTGGTTGCCCAAGATACTGCACTCGAGTCGCGTCGTGTCGTGTGTGCCTGTTTTTGCTGAGGCCTGCATCAACGAGTCTGGTTCCTGAGTGTGATGGTGGTTTGCTACATAGCCCTAGTACTTCCAACTCTTTGCATCAAGTGAAGCGTTGCGCTTGAGGAACAAGCTAATTCCTTTAATATAGTCGGTTCCATCTTGTTGAAAGGGTCACGTGCTCAAGGTGGTTTACTTATCGATCCACCATCTCACGTGTTCAAGGTGGTTTATATATAATATATATATATCCATATGATCCATTCCTATGAGAGTTGCTGCACCGTTCGTTCGATCCCCCCGTTTGCTCGGCCTCAGCTCCTCAGGCCGCCAGCAATCGCTCGCGGCGGCACAAGCCCGAGAGCGGTGACGCCGCCGGGGGTCCAGCGATGCCCGATGAGAGGTAGTTGCCAGATGGTGATGGCGGAAACATGACTGTTCAAAAAGGGAACGACCAGCTCCAACAAGGAAACATCAATAGAACCAAACATGGAGCATTTGGACACATTTAAAGACTTTTTGACCGATTGTTTGGACAACTATTAAAAAAAAAAAAACAATTGTACACACACATAACATGTTTCAGTGATTAAACAGTTGGATTTGTACAGTGCACCTACTAAAGAACTCAACATATCTCTCTGGAAGAGGATTTTCCTTAGTGCAAGATGTTGTTCCTTTTTCCGGTTTCATTTGACTTCTTTGAGGTGTATCCAATAAAGAACACCGGTCTGAACCTTTTGCAAGGGAGGACGGGATGGAACGGACGAACATGATCATTGCCGATTGGTTTCTTCTCCGACGAACATGGCTGATCTCCAATGTTTCTTCCATTGCCAAGCCCACCTGATAGGTCGCAGTCGAAGGCGAGCTACAGCGCCCAGTCGAATGGAGGATTCCATGGTCGGAAATGGGAGAATGACCGCAGGTGCTGTTGAGAGAAGATGGACTCTTTTTGGAGCGACCTAAAAATAACATCCCCTTGCCTGCTAGCCTCCTAGCCAGGAAAAGGGGTTTTACATAACCATATGATCATATATAACCTTTACCTTTTTGGGGGGATAACTAGGCATAGGTCTTTTAGTCAAACGGAACAGGTGGAAAGTGAACCTTGACAACCTCGGTGCGGCGGCGCCTTGGCAACCTCGATGTGGCCTCGGTAGGGCGAGGCAGGAAAAGAAGGGCAGTCAGGTTGAGGCGTGATTAGTGACGATTCGGCCGGTTTTCCTTTAGAACTGCCTTGAAGATAGATCTTCTTAGAGTCAGATAGCCATCCTCGTAGAAAAGTCTTGGGCTTGGTGTTGCCCCACACCCACCTGAACTGCACATTCCAAGAGGAATCGTACTCTCGGGGTTTTGGACAGCTTGAGCTCATGGTCACATTCCATGACATGTGATGTGGAAGACAAAGCTCTTGGAGGCGATATCCTCCAGGGTCAGGTGGCAGTGGTCTCCTTTCGCAGTTTTCTTCCGACATGATGCACTAGACTAGCAGATCAGGGAATTGTACATGTACATATAGACACATACATATATCATATACCGAGGTGGTCCAAGATAGAGGTCACTCAGTTTTCTAGTTGTATATCTATATCACACGGATATATCATAATATACACTTTATATCATATATTATACATTCTTTGGTATTCCTGGCCACAAACCGTAGACAGCCGTGGATGACACAGCGCGGTTGCGCCCCACACATTTGTGTGGCTCCAAGTCGCCGAGTCCTCGATTCGTTGAATCCTGATGCCAGGATGGCTCAATTCGTTGGGTCTTCCCGGATCCCAAATGGCTGGATATCTGACAGGTCGTTGGCAGTCGATGCGAACAGAAGATCGACAGATTAGTAAACTTGGTCTCAGATTCAGATCATCCGACCTGTTAGAACTCAATCCATGTTGTTCAAAGAAAACACAACTTGTTCAAATCAATCATGGCACGGGAAACACCAACAAATCCAAGCCATTTTGAGCCAAGCCTCACAACAAACGTGGACGGCCGGACAGAGCTCTTTGAGTCATGTACAGCAAAGGGGTCTCTGCCGGTCATGCTCCGCCTGGTATCTCATCTCCTCAGACCCAGCTGAGTCGAAAGCGTCCGAGTTGAAGGACACCACTGACACCACTCCATGTCTTGGATTCGACACCATGTTGGAGTCGAACAACGTGGAAAACACCGAGCTACCGAAGAGCTCACATGGAAGGGGAGTTTTCCCCTAGTTCTAGAGGCAAGTAGTCTTCCCAGGGGCCATGCTATCCAGGTAACCATGTTAGGCTTGGTTCAATGGAGTGACAGTGAGAGTTCAGATGCTTTCATGACTGCATTCGAGTCCTGAGGTACTGTATGTGAACTTCTTCAAAGGATTCCCAAACGGGTCAGCAGCATTGTCTTGAGCCATGCTTGTGCATATGGATCGGACTTGTAGGAAACTAATGGGCACTGTCGCACTTGAACAGTTTTCTAGAGCAACTACATGATGGAATCTCATTTCGGGAATTCTCATGTTCGGGGCAGTTGTGCATTTTTATCGTTTGGGTTTTCATGCTGCTTTTCGAGAGACTCGCGTGTCCACAAGCCCTCGAAGCATGAAGCACAACAGCCACAGCACGTGCGGTGGGAACCCGGCGTCTCAAAGTACCTCGGAAAATGGGTGCAGTCGTACCTGTTTTGATAACGTCGTGTCTCATTTGAAAGGGGTACCAAGGTCACCTTTGCAGTGTTCCCGAAGACATGTCGCAGCCAGCTAGACGCTGAAACTGGAACTGGGCAAGGGTACAGTGCCTAATTTGCTGCTTCAATCAGTTAACATCGATTCATTGCAAACGAAGCTGTGGAGATGGAAGGGCAACGGTTTTTGTTCCTGTGCAATGAGCCTCGAAACAATAGTGAATGGAGATCCTTCAAGGTGTTTCTGCATGATGCCGAGTGGCCGAGTGGCCGAGTGTCAGTGCCTTGAACTGGACCGTTGGGTCAGATTGCGTTCCAGCTTTGCGACGAACTGTCCGTTCGTCACAGATGCTTGGTTAAACAACTTCCAAGAGAGAGAGAGAGGGAGAACACATAAA